ATTAGTCTGGAATACTCAGCATGTAAAACAGCAGAAAGCAAAAGTGCAGCTACATTTCACAGATGAGATTTTTTTTTTTTTAGCAAATCTCTAGCTCAAAACTTTCACATAAATATAACTCTCCTTCATGCCCAATTTATCGTCCATTTTTTGTTTTTTTTTTCATCTCTCCACTCCCTAGCAAAAGAGATTTCCTTCCCAGACTGACACACTAAACTAGATTCCGCTCTCAGTTACAACTGTGCAATGCAAAGAAGAGGTTAGCCAATATTTTCAAGCAATGCCGGTTCTGGCACAATTTGCCTGAACAGAATGTGCTTTTTATACATCAGCCGCCTCTCGTGATCGAGTTCATGATGATTTGTCCGCTTCCCAACTCTCTGAAACTACTGGAAAATACAAAGCAGCATTTTTCTCTCAAATAACTAGGATTCCTCTGGGGACTCTGGCTGCTAGACTTGCAATGAAGTGGGTTGATCTACCAACCCACTGCCATTTACATCATCCTCTTAGTGTTAATCTAGTTAATACACCCCAGGGCCAAAACAGATCCCACTTGCACTCAGGCTAATATAAATCCACAGTTAGCCCCATATGGCCAAAAAAAAATCCCTCTAGTTTTACAGTTTGTGTGTATCATAATTTGTGCTATACTAAGCAGTATTTCTAGGATCACAGTAAATATAAGTAAGAAATCACAGTGAAAGGAAGTAGAAAAAAGAAGTTTAAATTCTCCTTCCAAATTAGAGGTCAACAGGCACAAACAGGGAATCAGACTTTGACGATCTCTATCCATTTGCAGGGAGGGAATTCCTAGTAAGGAATATTTACTGCAGACTGGTAGTTCAAGTTATGTTGTGACCCTGTTTTCAGTAATGGTCTCAATGAAGCCAGCTGATCGCAGAGATTTGCCAGGGGACAGAAGAAGAACATCTTAGGAGTTGGCAACCCTGGCAGTGCACTCCAGGAAGGGAATCGATCTGCCAGCTGTTTTGGAATGACCTTTTTAGCCTTTTGCTGACTTGCATGATCCCTAGAAAACATAAGAACACCCTGAAACACTTGGGCCTGCAGACTGAGATACACGATGCCTGGAGATACGTGAACGAGCGAGTGGGTCTGTTTATCTGAAAGTCAAATCGTGGGATCCTGTCGCTCTTTGATTCACAGGACTTAAAGTGCCTATAGATAAACCTCGTCACCTGCTTTTTCCCCTGCTCTTGCTCCTGTCTTAAATCCCATAGTCACTATAAATTTACCATAGCCCTGTAAAAACTGGAAAAGGACTGTAAGTATTAAGTAAGCAAAACATACAAGGTTAGGATCAACAACACACAGACACTTCTAAACACAGCAAGAAGTCATCTCTTGGGATGACTTACCTAGAAAGCAATAGAGCACACCACTACCTTAGTGTGTACAGACAGGCACAACCCAGGATGAGCAATGACAGGATTAAAGCGACTGTCACAAATCTGGCAATTCCCCATAAAACTTTCAGAAAGTTGGTATCAGAGCCTAATATCTTCAAATATATAAATCCCAAACTACCACATGTAGTGCAATTCCTTTCAGATCCAATTACCTATTATCAGATATAGGCTCCCAAAGCACCTGACCTGCCTTTCCCTCCCATAGGAAGGCTGCTCCGTTCACATTCACGGAGGGATGGCACAAGACTTTTCCTACTCCTTAGAGCCACCATCATTGCTGCTGTGTTAGAAGGAGGCCCTTGAATGGCACCTGTTGTAGCCAGTTCAATGTACTTAAATGTAGTCTGGACAGACCGGCCTCATTACACAGCAATCTTCTGCACCTTAAGCAGGCAGTGCTGGACCAGGAGTGAGTCCCCTAACTATTCAGGAGACAGAATGTCCTTGTCCTTGTCCCACAGAATGGTCACAAGAATTATAAAGCCTTTGTTAGAGCCGTCAGAGCACAGTGTCCTCAAGGATGAAACAGAGAATACTCTCCAAAGAACCTGCTGCGGAAGGGCTTTCCTAGAAAGGAACACCCATAGCAAACGCCCAGGTTGTTGGCCTGTGTGGGCTTGGAGGCAGGGGTGGCAGAGAGAGGTGCCAAGGTCTCAGCCTCCTTCCGTACAATTCCATCTGTGCAAAGGATGAATCATTAGGCAGAGCAGGGTTGTAAACCCAAGTGTCTCACCTCCAGTGCTGAGCGCCAGGAAGCTCAGGTTAAGTCAGTCCGTATGCTCTATTCCATGCAGCAATACAAGTAGCATTCCGAATTTATCTCTCAGCATGGAAAAAAAAATCCTCAAAAATGTCTAGTCTGATTTGCGCAAAACAGAGGGGAGGGAGAGAAAAAAAAAAAGGAAAAAAAAAAAGTGACTCAGCTGTTGTCATAACTGCTAACTGAAAAATCACCTATTTGCAAATCCCAAAATCAAGAGGTACAGCTGCCAATGGCAGTTCCACAAATACCATGGTGATGGACAACGTGGGAATGGACACTGTATGAAAAACAATTGTAAGTGTGAACAGCAGCAAGGCTTTAGAAAAAAAAAACGCAGAAAGAAGGGCTGTGACATTCAAAGCTTTGGAATTAAATGTATTCATGCATTTATTTACAAAAATGGCTTTTAAGACACCTTCAGCTCTTCATTTGATGGCAAATGCGACTGCACTCTGCAGCGAAAAACAATTATAAGTGTCAACAGCAGCAAGGCTTTAGGAAAAAAAATAAAGAAAGAAGGGCTGTGACATTCAAAGCATTGGGATTAAATGTATTCATGTATTTATTTACAAAAATGGCTTTTAAGACACCTTCAGCTCTTCATTTGATGGCAAATGTGACTGCACTCTGCAGAGCAGAAAGCTAGTGACAGTCCTAGTCCATAATTAGGATTCGCACGGACAAGAGCTGGACAAGGAAAGGAGCTTCTAAAGGAAGCATCTAAAGAAGAGCTGTTTTTGCAAACAGCCAGAAGATGTTTATACCCTTTTTCCATGGCATTAGGGAAGGTACGAGAAGTTTTCAGGTGAAACAGGGATGTGGGCAGCAAGGAACTGCTGTGGGGTCTGATTCGCAGGTGGCAGAGCTGGCCACGCTGTGGCCAGCAGGGATGGCAGACGTGCCAGCACCACAGAGCCTGCCGGGCCGCGCCAGCCACGGCGCCTGCTCCCGCACCGCCCTGAGGTAACTCCCCCTGTTCCCTTCATCCTCATCCTGCTTCTCCGTTGTTCTTCACCTCCTAATCAGTCACTGAACAGTTCCAGTCTGAACAATTCTGTTCCCAGGGTAGGGAATTATCATTTTAAGTGTCTTCACAACAGGGTCATTTTTATGACAGAAACCTTCAGTGCTGAGCCAAGCGTTTGGCCGCCGTGGCCTTGCCTTCCAACCGCAGTGCAGCGGAGGAGAAACAGCTGCGCCTGCAGCGGATCCGAAAAGCCAAAAATCAGGGGAAAGCAATTAATCCTACAGCAAAAGTGCCTTAAAAAATAACCTGTAACCAGGGAACAAGGACATGAGGGGTAGGAGAACAGTTCTACAATGCAGAGATTTGAAGTCTATATTTGAAGAAAATATTTGAAGATATTTTCTGTAGATTGGTGTCTCATACCAGCAGTAGCACTCGCTGACAGAACGACTAATTCCGTCTTTAAGCCTACAATCTGAGAACACAAGGGAAAATCCCAGGCTTTGGCGAAGATGAGGGCAATACTGTCCCAGAGCCAAGACCTCTCCCATGACTCCTACTGTCTTACAAGGCACAATTAACAAGCACGTTTTTCCTTGGTAGTCTCTTTAGCTGGAGATCTAAATAGAGATGAAAGCTTCTCTGGTGTTTACAAAGCTAGCATAATTAGTTAAATACTTTACACCCAAACCCATGCTGAGCCTGCTGTGTTTCGCCAGCACACCTATAGAACTTTCTTGCTGACTTACATGAGGAGCAGCACCTGTATTTGCCAACCACGGCACCTGCCATTCACATAACCACTACCACATTCCCACAGGGACTCAGAGCAGTCATGCAATAAGACTTCTGCATTAAGAAAAATCAGTCATTTAAGTTAAAAAAGAATGCATTGCTTGGGGGAGAACTGACAGCTCTAAAGATTCATTTACTTAGATAATCTTTATGGCATTGGCAAATTTCCTCATGCTGTCCTGCCTTTCCATCTAAGTGACTTAAACCACAGCAGGTACATCAGTGACCACTACTTTCCATCCTCAGCTTCCCTGAACTTTTTCAGGCTACACTGACTACAGGGACCAGCTATCACCTCTGTTAAACTATTCTTCATTCTTCATAATACATTTTTTCCCCCAGAATTGCCCCCAAAACAGTAAAATGATAAAAGCATGCAATAGTTTAAATGAGATATCACTGCCATACAAGGCTAAGAGAAAACAATCAAAAATAATCCTGACATCCTTTTTCTTCCCCACAGTTTTATTCTGTGTTGTCTCAGTCCAGCTGAGCAAGTGCCTGAGAGAGTCTCATGGGAAAAAGCCTGTAATCTCACATGTTCTTAAATAAGCCTGAATATCCAGATCTAAGAGCTGAATATCCACATCCAAGAGCTGTTTACTCTGCCTTGCCCATGCCACCCTCCAACCTAGTGACTCAACACAGGTGCCACACACAGCAAGTGTCCCCTCTGAGGTGAGACGTCGCTATCCCTGTATCACAGCTGGAGATACTGGTGCTCTGGGTATAGCCCACCTTTCAAAAGCAGCCTTTGACAGGTCCCAGACCACTTCAGCACCCAACATCACTGGTCACATTTTAAACCTCTGGCCATGCCCACTCACTCAACATCATGCAGGAAGCCTGTGGCAGAGAACCCAGCTCTTCTGAATCGTGGCCTAACACATTAGGAGGATGGTGGCCACGTGCTCAACAGCATCCACCTCATACACCGTTTGGGACTTGTGAAAAAAAAACCTCCTGATGAGTATGCTTTCTGCTCACCAAAACTATATGAATATTTCAGGAGAGTTCCAGCCTGGATGAAATCAATACTCACAGGTACACTTGCTCTCAAAAATCAAGATTTTCAAGGCGTTTCAAAGAATATCGCTCGCTGCATCAAAGATAATTTCCTGAGTCTTCTGTTATTTAGTCCAAGAGGGCATGATATTCTATGAGGTTACAAGGTGCTGTTATTCTTCAGCAGTGGAAGGAACACATCTTGGAGAGGAAGCCTGCAATACGGGCTGCTGCTCAGACTTGGGTTGCTCTTCCTCACTGTCAATGAACTCCTGTGTCACCTGGGCAAACAACACAACACCACATGCCTTAGTTTGTTCGGTTATCCTACAGATAGAGTAATATTCACTGCTGCTCGAGGGAGCCTGGAGGCTTTTGTGGGTCTAATAGTTCTCCCACTAAAGCCAGGGGATATTTTTTTATGGTTAACTGCAGTGGGGGGAGCATCATGTGGCCTTCCATGAAATAATTCTAGGATTCGTTCACTACAGACACTATATGACTAAATCCCTAACTATACAACTAACTCCCCCAGGACAAGCTATCCCACATGGGCCTTGCATTTTTCTTGTGTTCCCGAGAATTACAGAACAGACTTTCTGTGTGGCACAACCATAACAACAGTTAGTTCATGCTTTTAATACCATCAACAAAGATCAACCATGAGAAAAAAAAAAAGAAAAGAGCAATCCACAGCTTGATATCTGAATTCCAGGTAAGTTGTTATCTCATGGTTCTCCTTGTTATCTCATTTACTTTCTTCCAGTATGTTATTTCATGCTACTTTATCTGTTCAGTTCCACTGAGGTCCCAGGGCTGACTGCCACTTAATCCTCAGCCTAAAGTCAGAGTAGAAATTCCCTTGAAATCCCATGATATGAAGGACTTCATATCAGGCCCGTGTATTCTGAAGAGATGCTGGCAGTGATAAAGACACGAAGGGACAGTTGTGCTGAAGGAAGTAGGCCAGCCAACAAGAATCCCAAGGGAAAACAAACAAACAAACAAAACACAAAAACAGCAACAACAAAAAAGAACCCAAGTCACCACCTTCCTAAAGTCACTCAAGTCATCACCTTCCTTAAAATCACTGCCTTTTTTCCTAGTGATATGTTGTGTGCTCAGATAGAACAGGCTGTCAAAGGTTGCTTATTAACCTTATTATGTTAAGTGTCAATGAGAATGTGCTTTGGCACATTGATTTAGCATCTTTATCTTGACGTTGAGGTGGGGCTATCTAACACAGAAGCAAGTAAATGCCCCAGAGCTCAAAACTCCATGAGTCACTGTTCTTGTAAAACAGGCAATATCATCCCGTGATTCAATCATTAGCAGTGTAGGAATATAATCTGACAAGCAGTGGTTCACTTCACTTTAAGCCCATGAATCTGGGAAGCCAAGAGCAAGGCCTAAAAGCTGTGTGCTTAGTGCATGCCCTGGCTTCATCCAGCTGCAATTCAGCATCTTGCAGAATCATCAATTCTTGTAGACGGCAACAACTTACTTGAAGCTTCATCTCTGAAGAGTGATTATATAAGGATCTTCAGTTTCATTTGAAAAGATGTTTCTTTGCAACTCTATTGCAGAGAAATGCTTATGCCCTAAGCATTCAAACACCAGAAAGCCAAAAAAAAAAAAAAAAATTAATGAGAGAATTGCATTTCAGTTGGTGCTGGCAATATTGCAGCTGATCATTTAAGAATTTTAATAAAACTGCCTTCTTAGGTACATGCCAATATCAGACAATCAGACGTAGGAAATGGAATTATCTTCCAGATCAAAACTCAAGGATGTCTAGCATGGGGTCTACCACTAAGATGACCATGGACACCTGCTCTTTATTTTTAGATCTCACAGAATTATAGTCAAATCAAGTGTGACACAACAGAGACATTATTGACCACAGTGAGCATCACTGTAAGAGCAATGTTGCCCAAGAAGTAAAATCATCCCACAGCCGACGCTCCACCAACTCGCAGAGCAGGACACATGGAGGCTTCAGGCCAGACTCGCAGAGCTACTTAGGAACCTGGCTCTTTCTGCTGGCCATCTTGGGTAATTAAATGCCTTTGCCTTATATTGTGCCAAATAAGGAACTCTTTTGCCAGTCACACACTGTCAGTATTCCTGGAGCTCAAGAATATTTCCTGTTAGCACTTGGCTTCTTCCTTTTAGATCACTGCGTTTCAATCTTAGCCTCTGGATCTTCAAGTGGACATGTATGATGCAGTTTTAAAGGACTCTTTCCAAGGATCCTGTTGCACCTGCATGTACCTCAGTGTACTCCATGCACCTTGCAACAAGTTTCCAGACAGGCCACAGCTGCCCAAGAAACCCCTTTTTCATCACACAAGGCTCAATGGTTAAAAAAGCCAACACTGTTTCATTGCTACAAATGATCCAAGATTTGCCCTCCCAGCCACATAAAGACATGTATCAATCTGAGTCAGGATGAGTAACGATTGTTTTTGCCCCATTTTTTTTTTTTTACAGGAATTTTACTTATCAACTTTGATTTTGAAACAGCCAATTTTTGTCAAAATAAGTTATGGCTAAAGAAACTATTGAGATCACAGCCCTTCTTGTACTTGCTGTACTTGTGCAAACGCGTGCCTGGCAGCACAGAGATAGCAGGAGCTGTGCCCTGGGGATGCAGCAATGGGAAACAAAGAGCTTTGTGACTAGCACAACTCAGGAAATCAGATTTCCTACAGAACTATGTGTCTTGGTTGATTCAATGTTTACACTGAACTACACCAAGAATTTCTGTTCTTAGACTCAAAATGCAATGTATCAAATCAGTCTCATCTGTGCGCCGCAAGACTGAGGGAAATGCTGGTTTAGGGTAATTTATCCCCCAAATCCTTTTCCTTTTCTCACACAGAGGTATGTTACATCCAAACACACCCTTTGGCCACTGGGTTAAAAAGCTATTGGAGAAAATCCACAAATACCTGGTCCTAGACTTGCATCTTCCCATTGCGCTATGTTTACAAAACTCGCAAGAACTTCCTTGAAACAGTTCCCCTTATGTCACCTTTAGCTGAAACCAGCAAATGGAAGCAAAATATTATTTAAGGAACAGATATGCACCAAGGTGCATGTGCATACACATATAAGGGACAGTATAAACCTCATTTCCAACAAAACCTGCGTGAGGGTTATGTTTTGCAAGCTCTTTTAGGGCTGATGATCTACATGCGTACGCAGAGGTGCTGAGGATCATTCAGGAGCTGCAGAGAGCTGGAGGGGGCACAGGGAAGCGGCTCTCATTGAAGGAAGGGTTGAGGTTCATTTCACTGAGGACAGTGCATGGAGGCCACATGAAGGAAATTCTGCCTCTGCGGGGAACGCATGCAGAACCACGACGAACAAGACAACACCACTGGCCATGGAGGAAAGACGTTTTTTATAGACAGCCCATGGCTGCCAGACTCCGCTTCCTGACCACACTCCGGTGACTCACTCAGAAAGTTTGCCCCTTGCTGAAATAAAAGCCGCGCCGGGCTGCAGCGCGCGACGCTTCCCGAGACGCAGCTGGCTGGGCAGCCGCAGACACCGTGCCAAGCAGATGTGCCTTTCCACCAATCAGCTCTTACAGTTTTGTGGCATTTTTCAAATTTCTTCTCTAGAAAACAACTGCTACGTGCAAAGCTTTTCACATTGCATGCAACACGCCACGGGCTCGAAGCAAGAAGTAGCACCAGAAAGTAGCTTAATGATATTGTTTTTCATTAATGGTATGACAGGGCTTAGGCTTAAGGCAAAGACCACGACAGATACTCTGCCTTAACGAGCTTTCAAAAGAAAGTGCAGCCTCACAACCCTGATTTTTTAAATGTCTTTTTACACATCAATCATTCCTGCGGATTTCAGTGTGATCACCTATTTAAGTATAAGCTATTAGCAAGAATAAGGTTTTTCTGGACAAAACCTAAATTCATGCAGACTATAAAAATAAGCAGTTAGGTATAGAAGAGATGGCAGAAATTAGCATATGAGAAAACAGCACTTTATATTGGGGTGTAGGTGTTTCCATGTGAAAGTTGAGCAGAGTCTAAAAAGTGAGCACTAATGGCTCCGCTTGCAGAAAACCTGGGAATCCTTCAGAGCAGCAGGGAAAAATGCACGGGAGACAAGGTCAAACGCGCTGAAGGGGATCCGGCGCTGAGCCGGGATGCATTAGACGGGTTTGAAGGGGAGCGAGGACAGGATGGGGAACAGAAGCCGGGATCCTGCAAACCGCATCGGAGCCCTGCAGCGGGCACCAAGCCCGGCAGGAACGTGACAGGACAGACGGACCGAGGGACAGGGAGCCTGACACCTGCGCAGGGAAAGTTGCTGCTAACGCAACCCGAGAGAGGCAATTACAAAAATAAATAAATAAATAAATAAAAATAATAAAAAAATAAACCAGGAGCTTTGCCCATTTAGCCCACAACATGCAGGGAGCTGCGCTATCACCGCGGGAGCTGTAACTACTCTATCTGCCATTC